CTTGACTCACCTTGACACCGAAAAGCAAAACATTAAACATTACACTAGAATTTTAAATACAATATTGCTCCAATTTGACATTAGGCATCAGGGTGCATCACATTTTCAAAACTATTACATCTTACTATCAGATTATTAAAATATATCATGTCATTTTCAAAACTATTACATGCTTTGTATTATCCATGTGATCGATCATATTTGTCTCACTTTCACATTAAAACCAAGAGGTAAAATCTTCAAGCAACACTCTAATAGAAACTGAAGTAACATTTGAAGATTCACTTAAGTAACACCTAAAATATCATCACTTCAATTAGCAATTGGATCATAAATAATCTTCAAGAAGTTTGTCATGACTGTTTCATTTCATGCTAGAAGTATATAATCTTTCTTTGGAGTGTTTTCAAATTCATAATCCTTGAACCATAAGTTTTCAAATTCATCTATTTCTTTCCTATTGAAAAAAGAATCATTTTTTCTACTCTTCATTATCACTTTTGTGATGCATAATCAATTAAATAAATTAACACAACACAACAAAATCTCAAAATTATCTAAGTTCCAATCTTACACATATTAGTAAGTACCAATTCTCTAAATTCCAATTCCACTACATTATAGCGCATTAAAAATATAACCACCTCTAATATAAACAAATTCCTTCTACTCCTAACAAATTAAAAAATAAACACTACCATTTTTCTATTAATGTCTTATGTAACTAATAATTAAAGTTTACAAAATTTCAACTTCTAAGACATCAAACTAAAAAAAATTATCACATTATCACAATACAAACACAATACTTCAAACCAGAACATCAACTTAATAAAACAAACCAAAAACACATTATCACATTATCACAATATTATACTTCAAACTAAAACTCCAACCTACAACAACACAAGATTACTTCAAGATTAATTTTTAAAAACAATGTTAAATCTTACTTAAGATTTAAGAGGAAGGAAGCAAGTTAGATGAAGAAGATGGACTTCTAAAAACCAGTTCGTGAAGGCCTCTGGAGGATTGAGATTACTTGAATGAGAGAGATTACTTAAGCAATTGAACGAGAGAAAGAAATTGTTCTCTTGGAATGCGAAAATATCAATTGGTTAGGGTAAACAAGAACAATGACATTAGTTTCTTTGACATTAGTTTGAAGAAACTGTTGAATGAAGAGTATAAAAATACACAAGTTTCCTTGACATCCATCACAAATGACTTACTTAGTGAAGCATCAAAAGATAGTGATACCTTAAATCTTGAGAGCTTTAGCTTGTTTGTTGTTGAAAACAATTGAAATGGGTAGTGAAGAACACTGTAAAGATCATTTTCATTAAAGAAACATTTGCACAGAATAAACATGTCATGATTAGGAATATTCAGCATTCAACAAGTAAAGAGGAATTAGCATCTGGGTAGTGAAGAATTGATGATACCTGATGATGATAACTGAGATTGACGCAAAGCTTTTCACTTCTAAGATACCGGAAATGGTGGCATAGCTAGAGGAAGACAGGGGAAGCTCGTTGTAGGTGTACTGGAAGGAGTTGATGGAGCGGAATTGTGGTTGGAAAGGGTGTAGACGGTGGGGGTGACCAACGGAGGCTGAAAAGCTTAAGATGAACGGCGACGACGGCAATGAGGAAGCTCTGAACGAAAGAAATTAGGAAGACTAAAGAACAGATTTATGGATTTTTAATTTTAATATAAAAACAACCTACGAAAGCGCTTTTAAAAAGCGCTGGCATAGGGTACCCTATAAGAGCGCTTATGAGGTAAAAAGCGCTTTCGTAGGTCCCCCTATCAAAGCGCTTTTCAAAAGCGCTGGCATAGGGTTCCCTATAAGAGCGCTTTTCAAAAGCGCTTTCGTAGGTTAGATATTTCAAATACCTATGAAAGCGCTTTCTGAAAAGCGCTTTCGTAGGTAACCCTATGCCAGCGCTTTTAAAAAAGCGCCTTCGTAGGTTTCCCTTTTTTTTAATTTTGTTTTTTGTGAAGGCTATGGCAGCGCTTTTTCAATAAGCGCTTTAGTAGAGGCGCTGCTAAAACTTGTTTTTGGCGTAGTGGGAAGCTAGACATAGAATGGAGGTTTGGGCAAAGTACGATAATGATAATGTAAGTTCTTGTAATTTTTAGAATTAAATTGTCTCCCTTTCTGTTCGGTAAACAAGGACACAACAAATCTAACAAGTCGTTTACTATTAATAATAGACCATAGTAAATAGTCCCTTATTTTTTTCCATTACTTTTTTGCTGTAGGAGTTGATTGACGTATCTTTTTATGTTATACTTTGTCAAATTGAATTGCGGGCTTTTGTTTGAAACACTCAAATCTACAAGAGAACAGAAGCATCTTGTTATTGGCAGGCTCTACAGTGACGTTGCCAGTAAAGAGTGAACACAATGTAAAAAGTGGTTGCAGGTTAGAATCTGATATCAATTTAGACGTTTTAAACCATAATGAGCCTCCTGACGAAGGATTGTCTATCTGTACAGATAGTACATTTAATCTTTTACAACTTAAATATTATCAACTAACAACAGTTGACCGAATGGATGGATGAATGATGAAAATACAATTATTTCTGGGTTTAAAATCCGACGGAATTTAAATAAAATAAAAAATTAAAAAAAAAAACTTTATCAAAAATTAAAATCTAAACTCGCTAATATTAAAGAAAAATTTATATATTTAACCCTAGTTAAAATAAAAGTTAAATCACAATAAATATTCAATTATCACAATTCACTAACAATTTAATTAAATTTTTTTTTTATGTAATTTTTATTATTTAAAAACAAATACCCCTTACCGAGCCGTGCGAACAAAATAGTATCCCACATGAGAAGGAGAACCCAAAATGATTTTGTCATGTCTTAGCAAAGCAATTTCAGAGAAATGAGTTCAACATCTCTGTTGATCAAGTGTCACCAGCATCTGTCACTAGTTACAAGATCACCCAAATCCTCTTACATTGCAGTGAAGAACAAACCCATTCACCTCTTTCCCAAGCAGATATAATTTCACACCCAGTCTTAGCTAATCGAAGTCGATATGGAAACTGAAAAAGAATTTTCAAACTCATTCTGCAAAGACATTCCCAATCTCCTTTCTTCTTTCGTCGACACCTTCGTCGATTTCTCTGTCAGCGGCATCTTCCTCCCTCCACCGCCGCCGCCATCGCCGCCGCCAACCAGACTCCCCTCTCCCAAACGCCTCATTGCCATTGGCGACCTCCACGGCGACCTCAACAAGTCAAAACAAGCCCTACGTCTCGCCGGTCTAATCGACTCCTCCGACCGATACACTGGAGGCTCCGCCACTGTTGTCCAAGTCGGCGACGTCCTCGACCGCGGCGACAACGAGCTCAAGATTCTTTACCTTCTCGAGAAGCTGAAACGTGAAGCAGCGCGTTGCGGTGGAAGCTTCATAACCATGAACGGAAACCACGAGATTATGAATATTGAAGGGGATTTCCGTTACGTAACGGAAGATGGAGCTGATGAGTTTAGGGTTTGGTTGGAATGGTTCCGTGAAGGTAACAAGATGAAGAGTCTCTGTCAAGGTTTGAAACCGTTGAAGGATCCGTTAGAAGGTATCCGCGTCGAATTTCGCGGCGCAAATGAGAAATTTCATGAAGGGTTTAGTGCTAGGGTTGCGGCTTTGCGGCCGAACGGCCCGATTTCTAGAAGGTTTTTCACTGACAATGTTACCGTGTTGGTTGTTGGCGACTCCCTTTTCGTTCACGGTGGTTTGTTGCCTGAACATGTTTCTTATGGGTTGGAGAAGATTAACGCGGAAGTAAGTGATTGGATTAAAGGTTCAACCGGGAAGCTTTCACCGCCTTATTGCCGTGGGAGGAACGCTGTTGTTTGGCTTAGGAAATTCTCTGATGAAGTTGCTGTGAATTGTGATTGTTCGACTCTTGAGCATGTTCTGTCTACGATTCCTGGTGTTAAGAGAATGATCATGGGTCATACTATTCAGGCGAATGGGATTAACGCGGCTTGCGATAACAAGGCTATTCGAATCGATGTGGGCATGTCGGACGGATGTGGTGGTGGCTTGCCTGAGGTTTTGGAAATCAATGAGACTTTTGGAGTGAGGATATTGACATCGAATCCGTTATATCATAATAAAGAAAGTGCTTTGGGATTTGATGTTGCGAAGCAGGAAGGTCTTGGATCATTGCTTACTGAACATGGTGGACCTAATCGAATCAAAGTTAAGGCTTAATAACTTTTTAAAATAATGGGTTGTAGTTCAACATTGTTTATGGGAAATGTTGCAATAAAGGTTTCTCCTTCTTGCGCATTGGAGTTAGAGGTATCTCTGTCCTTTGCCTTATTGTTCACTTGTTAGTGCGTATTTGATTTCGCATTAGAGAATATCAGAATAGGTTTAGACTCTTATCAAATGTTATTTTGATAAATATGTTAGCATTCGGTTACTATCAGGCTAGTATGACAAAATTGATTTTCTTACTGATGTTACTATCAAACGTTATTTTGTAGTGGTTATTTTCTAATCATTATTCATTATTAATCGCTATATCTCTTACCGAAGTTGCATTTTGAAGATTTGAATTTCTTACTGCAGATTAGGAATGATAGATACAGTGATAATTAAAATATAGGTTGTTTTGATACTGAATAGTGATATGGTGGCCTATTTTTCCCTTCAAAATAGTAACACTATATGATTGTGAGTTTAGAGTCTTTCGGAAATCATATAAGGCCACGAGAAAGAAAAGATCAGTGAATACCGGTCATACAATTAAGCTTTGGAGCATAATTTTTGTCAGAAATTAGTCAATTGATGTTCCTATATTCAAGAAAAAACAATTTATGGTTCTACTACCAGTCCAATTTTTTCTGTGAAATGCTAGAGTATTGTTTCTTTACAGATAGTAACCAAGTTGTTAGCGGACGAGTTTTAGATAATAACTATGCCACCATTTTCTTGAACTTGTTCATTGCTTTGTCTATCATCAACTTGTTTTCTGTATCAAATACTCTCTGAGTTTTGTTGGGTGAATATCATCAGCAGTTGCCTGTGCAAAAAAAAAAAAAATTACTCTCATTACAATAGAAAGGGCTCCTTATGAACTTACTTAGAGGGTGGGATAGAGAATCAATGCTTTTGGGGAAATAGTTTTGATCAACCTTGTCTTTAAATATGAAGGTTAAATTTTATTCCATGAATAAAATATCTAGTATTTAAAGTTCAGTCAATCTGGAGTGCGAAAAAGGTGATTTATTGTGGGATTCTAGAGTTAATACAACGCCAAACTAGCTCATGGTTTTACATGACGATCAAAACTTAGATTTAGCATATTTATGTACTTTAATGTTGTAATTTAGACTCTTACCTCAACCAATAACATGATCAGGACTCTGTCATCAAATGGGGTCATGTTTGCATTTACCACATGCAGTCCAAATGAATCTACAGCTTCTATCAACTTTGAAAACCCACCTTGCTTCATTTCACAGCACAACTTGATCAAGAATTCTGTTCTGCGAACATGATTCACTTCTACTTGCAACTAAGAAAATGTTAAAGAGATTGTATTAGGTCCCTAAGACACGATGTAATGAAATTCAGTTTCATTCAGGAATTTGGAAAACAATATGTTTATGTTATTATGCACATTTTATGTACCTTCATCTGTGTCTTTCTAACGGAATCAGAAGAACTTTGATTAAGCTCACTGGGAGGTTTTTCTTTGTCTCCTTGCACCCTCATTTGTAGTGTGTTCTTTTTACAATCCTCAACATCTAAAACATCAACCTTTTCTTGAAGTTCTATCTTCTGCCTCTGCAATTCCTTTATGTATTCAATTGCATCACCCACAATTGCTGCTCTATCCATCTGCAAACATTGAGTGCATTAGATACTTATTGCATATTCCGATGGATAGCGAGTTTGAAGAAATCACGGTGACACCCTGAATTTTTTGAAACTCCAAAATGTAACATTTTAGTTACTCAATGTCAATTCAAACATATATACTAATGAAACTCAAGATTTTAAAGTATTGGATGCATGCTCTTAAATTACACAAATTAGCTTTACCTTGGTTATATTAGGGACTAGAGACCTTAGAGTAAAAAGCCCCTTTTTAATTTTGTTCCTCCTATTCCTCTCCGTGATAAGATTTTTAGCATGAAACATTTCCTTTTGAGTTTCCTTAAAAGTTTCTTCTTTATCTTCTTCGCCATTTCCACAATGGAAACTCAAAGTTTTATTGTATCCTTGGCTTTTAATATTTGATATAGGAGATATTTCAACTGGTTGATTCATATATTCATGTGGAACCAAGCAATCAAACTTTGAATCAAATGATAAATGTTCTGTTGAAGGATTAGATCCATTGGAGGGTCCTTCAATGCTAGGATTAGAGCTGCTATGGTTTTCTGTAGATAAACCAGGAGTTAAAGGGTAATAATGCTCATTGAAGTTCGTGCTGTTGTAGCTCTGTGCAGATATGGCCTCTTGCTTTATAGAGACCCAACATTGTGCTGATATGAACTCTATGATGTTTATATCTTTTGGGATCTGAGAAAGATGAAGAATGTATCATCTTTAGAATTTTCAAAAAGAGGGTAATACCAATAAGTACTATGATGTGCATCTTACCAGCATTGAAGTGAAGAGCTCAACAAGACCTCCTAAAATAGGAATCAAAACTTGAGTTCCAATTGAGTCCTGTCAAAACATTGATAATTTGATATAAAGTTCATGATGATATTATTAAATAAGATAAAAAGATAAACTGGTATAAATTGAATGAGAAATATTAGACAAACAAAGAAAAGTAATATAGTCATTTACAACTACCAAAATTTACCTCCTGGATAAGCCATCTTGGTTGTTGTGAAATTGCAGCCTCTCCATGGACACTGTTGATCAAATAGTTTTCTTTAATATTTCCTTCCAATGGTTAAAGAAAAACTGACATTAATATATACAATGAGAGGGAGTGAAAGAGAGATAGACCTAGAATAAAGAGACATTGCAAAAGGAAGCTTTGCAAGAGCCTCACAAGTCTTTGTTCTAACTGGATGAGGAAAGAGGGTATCCCTACAAATGGGATATTTTTCAGCTATTTCCTCTTTGATCTTCTCATTCTCAATGTTTCCTCCACAGCAGCAACAATCCATCCACTCAATAAAGCTACACAAGAGAAGAAAAAATGGATCAAGACAACAAACAACTATGAATGAATAACAAAATGGATTGATTATATGCAGGAATAGTAAAGTACCTAGTTGGGTCATTTCCATATTTCCAAACAACAACGTAATCCCAAGCTTTAGACTCAACAAAGGGTCTAAGTAATTCAGCAACATCCATAATACCACTCATTTTCTCTTTCTGTGAATGCACTTTTAAAAAGTTACAGTAATAAGTGTTCACTATGGTTTTTTTACATGCACTTTTAAACTGTTATTTTTCCCCTTCATTTTGAAGCACATGGTACAGGACAAGGTTAGTTATTAATTTGGGGTTGGTGTATCATATAGCATCATTGGTAATCAGTAGCATATCTTTCTGACAGTTGGAATATTGTACCTGTCAAGATGAATGGGGACCAGAAGTTGTTTATGACTAACTAATTACTGCTGCTAGCTTGGCTATGAATTTCAAAAGGAGAATAAACTTGAATGCTAGTATATAAAATTAGGGAGTGTATCATACATATCTACTTCTCTGGTAGTATTTTATTTAAATTTTATCTCACATTTTTTGAAATATTTAAATTATTTTCTTTATACATGTTATGTTTTTTTTGACAACTTGTTATGTTGTTTTACTTATTGTATTTAAATACTTGTTTAAAGGTTTTTTTAAGGCATGAAAAATAAATTGAAGGCCAAAAGTTCTTGCTTTGAAGTTTAGGTCTTGTGTAGGATTGATAATGAATCGAATCAATTTGAAAATAGTTCGGAACTCGATTCGATAATTAAATCGTTGAATTAGGTTCATGAAGCAAATGAGCTGAATATGAGCGAAAAATTAAGTCTGTTAACTAAATTAATTGAACTTGAATTACACATAGTTTGATCCGTTAGATTCATGAGTCAACTCGATTATATATGAATGATTATATTGTCATTAAGAATAAGAGTATGTTTAAATATTTATTTCAAATTTTAGTTCTATATTTTTTTTAGTCCTAATTGATAATTATATTATCAAGTGAATAAAATATTTTTAAAAATTATTATACAAATAAAATCAACATATTATATAAACAAAGTTATTAGACGCATTTCCTTAACTGCTCCATTCAAAATTAAAGAACCATCGGGAGGTAAACACTCTAAATACTGGAATTGAGCAATTGCAATATCAGCAGACATGATTAATATTATTAAAAAAAAATTAATTTATGGATGCATTTGCAATAATAATAAATGAATTTGCTTTAGAATTGTTAGAAGTAAAAATGACAGTAAAGTTGGAATTGTATGTGAAGTTTGAAGATGCTTTGATGTTCGTTGACGCACTTGAATTGGATGATGACTTTCTTGGGCTTTGGATTAATTGTGATTGAATTGGGCATGACACGATGCTGCTACAGGAACCTGCATCTTGCCTTAGGGACTAAATTGAATGCATGTGTCATCCACAATGTTGGACATGAATGTCATAAACCTTCAATGTTTCCCAAACCTGCAACTCGGCTGAGCCACCGACGTCTTATATCTGTGACTGTCGGAGTCACTGGGCGGCCGCCTCGACCTCCTTTCACCCATGAAATCCATGATGCAGACCCCTCTGATTCTTTGGATTTGGCATCCTGGAAATGTGCAGGGCTGGAAAGTGGTGTTGAAAACTCCTCTACTTGCTGAAGCTCCTCAAATTTTGTAAAAGTCACAAGCACCCTGATAGTAGGGACTATTGGGATAGCAACCTGTGTAGCACAAAAAATTATTATTAGCATTTCAAATCAAAAGTCATGGATGATGAACATGCTACAGCACAGATAAAGAGTGACATGCAGAGATGCAAACATCAAGCTCATTCCTATCACACCTAATTTTTTATCTTTTCAACCTACCAACTACTAAGACCAAAAAACACTATAAAGCCTGCAATTATTTGTTCCAATTACTTAGAAAGAAATAGTAATGCCTCTTTTATTTGGTGCATTGCTTGCTTATCTAACATGAAATAAATAACAGAATAAGTCTCAGTTTATAAAAGGATGAACTCTAATTGTTATGAACTTAGGAGCATATAATAAGTCTCAGTTTTAAAGTTCAAAATTTGCCACATAAATCAAAATTACAAAACTAATTATGTCATAATAAAGATTTTCGTTTATAGTTCAATCACAACTTCAATCCAACTCACTCAAACAAACAAGTACAAGATTAAAAAGAAATAGAGTACCACATGTCCACACATGCAGTCTTTACATTTTGGTGAGAACAAAGGTTCTCTTAAACTTATTTAAGTTCTGTAATTCATTCAGTTTGCCAGCTTTATTCTTCTTTTGATCATCCCCACGTAGAAGTTTGATAAAGATTGCAACGATCACAATTTTCGGAGTCCAGTCGGCATATCCCCAAATGCCTTAAAATGATCAATCTCAAGGTGCCTCTGAGCTTGACTAACTTTGTAACAACTTCGGTTGAAAATTTAAGATTCTCACAACCAGTTAACTTCAATGTCAGCAAGTTAACGAGATTGCCTATGGATTTAGGAAGAGTTGTTAGTTCTAAACACCAAGATAAGTTAAGATGTTTCAAATGTTTCAACTCATAAATTGAACATAGTAATAAGGCTAAAGAAGATCTGGACAGGTTCAACGCATGCAAGTGTTCGAATCTTGAAATAACAGACAACTTTTTCTGAGCAATCTCCTCATCGTTTTCTTGCTGTTGATGAATTTGTGTCTTATAATAGTTGTTGCAAAACTTATTCGAAAGGTGTTTGATAAAAGTTCAGAACTAAAATATATTTTTCTTTTTTGGGTTTATTTAGAGGAGGTTTAAAATTTCCATAATTTTAAGCGTTTTTAGATTTTTATCAAGTTGTCTTCCCACATGACACACCATGTCACCTTTCATTAATGAAAGTTAGCGACATGAATCAATATTGTGGATAAAAAACTTTATGAATACTATTGTTTGAAAGAAAATTTTAGAGGGAATAAAAGCGAATATTATAATATTTACGAGAATCACAAACATATTTAATCCATAAAAAGACTAATTGTTTTTTGTTCGATTTCAAAATCGAACCGAACCAATAAGAACCAATGTGATTTGGTTCGATTCTTAATTTTAGTTTTTAAGAATTGTTAAATCGATGAACCGAGTAAATGACTATAATTACGTTATAAACTTTTATCTTACACATCATTAAACTCAAATATTATATTAACCTAATCATTCTCCATCTTTGTTTATATTTTCTTCCCTTCAGCAAAACAAACATCTAAAAATCAAACTCTAAAACACAGATAATAAAAACTATAAATCACAAAAACTTGTTTTCACCGAATTGTTACTCCTGCTACCCGCCTCTACTATTGTTCTCTCTACCGTTGTTCTGATGTCTTTTTTTGTGTTCAAATTCTCTTTTTTAGTTTTCAAATTTTTTTAACCTTATTTGTTTCTTCTTCAACATAATTCTTTTTAGTCCGGTTATAAAATAGTTTTGATACGTGTTTGAGGTGTGAAATATTATGCGTAATAAAATTTTTGTTGTTATTGTTGTGCTTATTTGTTAATCTTTTAAATCTCTTCTCAACTTTTTGATTACAAGTGTCAATTTTTATATTTGATAATGAACTTATTTTGTGATGCAATAAAAATCATGTCATTGTGTCATATGATTAAGAACCACTTGTAATACGTTTGAAAAAATAGAGCATGAAATAAACTATATGAAATGTAATATTTAAAAAAATAATAGTATAAACTACACAAAAAAACATGATAGTAAAAAATACATTGATGAATATGATGTTTGAAAAAAAATATTATAAACTAATCAACTAAATTGAACCAGTTCTAATTTAAAAGAAAATACTAAAAACTGAATCAAATCAAACCAATAGAAATATCATCGATTCGAATATTTTTTTAATTAAAGTTCAGTCTAAACCGAATCGATTACACCTCCTACAATTTAGAATTCAAAACAAATATACTAAACCAATACTTTGCTCAATTTGTTTTTGAGCAAATTAAAATAGTTCAATACGATTCAAATAAATTTTTGTTATAATCTTTGAAAAAAACATTTTAAACGGTTTAATCAAACTGAATCAAATTAATTAATTTAGTTCAATTCTATTTAAAAAAAATACTAAAAATTAAATTAAATCAAACTAATAAAAATATCATTGTTTCGAACATTTTTTTAATCAAAAATCAATCCAAATCGAATTGATTACACCTTACGATTTGAAATTCAAAACAAATATATCAAACCAATACTTTGCTCAATTTGTTTATGAATAACTTAAAATAGTTCAATAAAATTTTAAAATTTTTTTGTTATAATTTTATTTATTCAATTAGATTTTCTCTCATATACGGTATGTCACTTTATATAAACTACCGTATCTTATTGACTATTTTGAACCCTATATATAGCCATTCTAAACCCTTACTCTTTCACTCCTCAATCTTCTTCATTCTCCATTATTTTCAAAAGGTTACGTATTATTTTCCAATTCTTCTTTATTCCCATATTTTGATTCTTTGTGTACATTTTAATACAGATTTTGTAACAGATCTAAATAGTAACATCAATGGCGCGACCGATTGAAGCTGTGAAAGACATCAACGACTCAAACAATGATCTTCCTCATGGTCGATTCAAGCATTTGTTTTCGAGGTTGAAGATAGAGAGAGGATTAGTGGTTCGGCTTATGGGGGTCAACAGGACATCTGTTGCACCAATCTTCCTAAACTCACTATGTGCAATGATGGACAGGGCTGTCACCGGCCTTCTCCCATGAATGCTTTTTATCATGCCCAAGAAATAAACAGTTTGTTTTTAGTTTTAATGCTTTATAATATTATTGTTTGCAGAGTTGTCTTATCATTTTAAGTGCCAATATTCACCATGGTCATGGCTGAGTGACCATTTGCTTCTCTAATTTCACAAACAAAAATATTGCTAAAGAAGAATTGGAGACTGCCACAACAGAACCAGAGACCACTATTTTAAATCTACTTAATCGAGTCGATTTTCACATGTGATTCATCATCAAAGCTACAACCGTAATTGAAGATTAGGAAATTGAAACCATTGAATTTTATGCTTCCACAAGGAATATCAATGGCTTTCATTGGCAGGTACTGATTATATACTAATTGTATTTCCTGACAGATATCAAA